CCTCCTGTTCCCCCAAGAGAGACAAACTCACATTTGTCCATTTGATAAAATTCTCTTTTTTGTTGTATACAGTTTAAGCTTTATAAGACTTGTTTGCTTTGAAAGCTATTAACTGTGGAATTCCTTACTTAGTCATAGGAATGTAGCATGGGGGTTCGCAACTCTGACTGCATATTAGAATCATCTGTGAACTTTTAATATGTACTGATGTTCACCCCAGAGATGCTGATGTACAACCAAGGCTGAAGCTGTCATGTGGACTTCACTGATGGGCAACTGCTGAGGAAGGAGAGATGAGGAAGCACCTCTTACCTCTCCCTCATCCTTCTCCCCTCCTCTTCCTACCTCACCCATAGGCAGATGAAACTCAGAGCCTCTAAGGGAGTAACGTTTCCCCTGATGATGTTGCCTGAGAGGCGCTGAAGAAAACCAGTTTTAATTTTCTGCCCAATGAAGAGACTGCATGTAAGTTTTTAACTGTATATAATCCTTTCTGTCTTCTGTTAGCACTGAAATATGATCTATGATCTATTACAAAGGAATCTTCCAAGGTAACTCAATTTAGAGAATATGTTTGATCTTGGGGAAAATAATCTTTAATTTTTAAAATGTCTGGATTTAAAAAATGGCTTGTCATGCTTAAGATTTAGTTGCCTTGAGTAATACTATTCCAACTGGTATGTATGTTTCTGGATTCATTTTGCAGGATTCCTTTGTTAGAGAGAAGGCCTTTGAAATTTGCCAGAATGTATGATGGTAAGGTAAATCCGTCTTGAAGAATATGAGAATCTTTATCTCATGACTTGTAACAACTCTGGTGGTGGTGGTGGTGGTGGTGTGCCGTGGAGTCGGTTCTGACTCATGGCAACCCTACAGAGGGTTTCCTAGGCTGTAAATCTTCATTGGAGCAGATAACCTTATCTTTCTCCTGTGAGATGGCTGGTAGTTTCAACCTGTTGACTCTGAGGTTAGCAGCCCAACTCCTAACCACTATGCTACCTGAGCTCATTGGCTAAAGGGTAGACACATTATTTTGGGTGACAGGGAGGGCAATATTCAAGAAGGAGGAGGGCAATATACAAGAAAAAGAAGGGTAGCAGAAGAATGGTGAAGATAGGTATGCACCAGATAAAGGGGATGTAGGTAAATAGTGATATATACATAACCTTCAACAAGAGTGTTCTGTGCGTAGATACATGGATGAAGACATAGGCTGAATCGGTAAGGTAGGAAGAGTGGACTATATATATATTTATATATCCCACAAATAAATATTTGAAAGAGGCTATTTGTACACAAGCATACACCTTTCCTGCAAACACAACTAAGAATGTGGTGGAGCATAAAGCAGGAAAAATGATGAAAATTTCTTATATCTTATCAAACATCTTAAGACAAAGAGTTGATGGTCCTGGGGGCTAAGGACCATAGTCTCAGAGGACACCATGGTTAATTGGCATAACATAGTCCACAAAGACAGTCCTACTTTGGTGAGTACTGTCTAGGGTCTTGAAAGCTCATGAACAGCCATATAAGGTGTAGCTATTGGTCTCTCCGTGTGGGTAAGAAAGAAGAGTGGTGAAAATCGAAGAAGCTTGGACTCAATTAGCCTAATGTGTTAATTAATGGAACATGTGAACATCAGCCTCCGCTGACACTGAGGTCAGAAGAACTAGATGGAACTATCAACTGCTCTGAAAGGGATCACATTAGAGGTTCCCGAATAGAGTGAGAGAAAATGTGGAATAAAACTTTTGTTTTTTTAAAGAGAGAAACAGGCTTACTGGTCAGAAAGAGACTGGAGGAACCTGAGACTATGGCCCTCAACCACTCTTCAGGTCTGCAAAGGAACTCACCCTTGTGGTGAGTTCAGCCAAATTTCAGTCAAGCAGTATAGAGGTGTATAGGAGGGACAACAACACTAGTAAGGTATGCTCACTATGCCCGTGGTCAATCATTCAAAATCTAAAGGGCAACATTTCCCTCAGGATAAATTGAGAAGGGATAGGAAGGTGGGTGCAATGCAAATAGGAACCACAGGGAGTAAGCAGGATAGCTGTTGTTACATGGAGGGGATTGCAATCACTGAGATGAAACAAAGTGTCTGATTTGTTGAATGTAAAGCTGATATCATCAATTTACTCAAGTCACAGTAAAAAGTAAAAAAAAAAAAAAAAAAGGAAGAAGCAGCTATCACTCACTTTACAAAAGAGGAGTGTTCGGCACTTGTGGGTGGCACAGCAACCTTGGTTTATTTTTGGTGTTTAGCCAAAATTATAAACTAACCTGATTTTGCCTCACTCTATCATGGAGTCCTAATGTGACGCTGTGAGTGGTTCAAGCTCACCAGCTGCTCTTTAGAAAACCTGTACAGGGCAGATATGGGTTGGAATGGATTCGACAGCACTTAACTGCCAGGAGCCAGCCCCGCCGGGCAAATTTATTTCAGGGATTTTTTTCCGAGAAGGGATGCAGCGGACGGCAATAAGAATTGCATGGAGTCAATAAGTCATGATGAATTCAAAAATCTTATTACATGCTTTATTCTTCTCTCATCTCTGTGCTACTCTACTCTCTCATTCTTTACTGTCCTGCTCATTTTTTACCCTCCTGCTCATTCTTTTCTATCCTGCTCATCTCTTCTGCTTCTTTACTAGCTTCCCCTCCTTCCATTTCTTTAATGTCTCCTTCTCTACATTCCTCTTATTCTTTTTCCTTCTACACTACTACTCCTAATTATCTACATTACTTCTTTCACTACTCCACTCCCCTGCTCCTTCTCTACATTACTCCCTCTATCCTCCCTCCATTCTTTTTTCGTCTCCTCTCCACCTCATAGTCCTTCTTCTCCCCCTTCCTCTTCCTACTCTTTCTGCTTCTACTTACCTCTACTTACTTATTCTCTCTTGTTGTTTTGTTGTTGTTAAGTGCCGTCGAGTCGGGTCCGACCCAGAGCGACCCTGTACAGGGTTTCCGAGGGTGTAAATCCTTACGGGAGTAGAAAGCCTCATCTTTCTCTCTTACAACCCCTTTATATACCATTACAAAAAACATTGCTTTCATAGTAATCAATGACATCAAAATACAGTCAAATCTGGGGCACATTCTTCATGATTTACAACAGGGATGGGAAGTTATATCAACACATATGAGAGACATCCTGGTGCCTTGAAACCTTTTAGTTAAACATTTGTTCCTACATAAATCTATTCTTTTCTCTGAGAAGCAAGTTAACCTTCACATATGTTTCTTAACCTTTATCTATTGAGTCTTGTTAATTTTAGTTGTTAGATGCAATTAACTCTCCATTAACTTCTTCCATACACTATGTTTATAGCCTACAAAAACATCACTTATCAGGGAAACTGAAGCTATGAAAACAATTCCCCTATTTTACTGATCAGACTTCTTATTTATGTTAACTGTAGATTTTCATAGCTCTTATCTATAGTCTAATTGTTTTTAGGAATTCTTGTACCCACAGCCCTTATTTATGGCCTAGTTGCTTTTAGGGATTCTTTATTGCCTTAAAGTAAGGCTACAAGGAAGAAAGTTTATAATCACTAAACCTAAGCTGGTAGTAATCCAATTGACAAATCCTGTCTCCTAGCAGTCTTAAGAACGTTGTTAATTTAACTATTAAAACTACCTGTGATTACAAGTAGAATAAGATGTAGCTAATATATGGCTTCTAACTTTTAATAAAAATATACTAAAGTGTAGGAGAGTATCCAAAGTAAAAGGATACTAATAAAATCATGAATAAATCAGAGAATGATTCAACAAGAGAAACTTTAACTAGGGGTCTGTGCATAGAATATTAAATCCTTGTAGCTCTGCTATCCAAGGAAAATAATTCATTGTTGCTTTGCAAAAACAATGACTTCTTCTATGCGCAGGTTTCCCCGTGTCTCATTTGTTTTAATTCCTTGATTAATATGTCTCAATTTATTTATTTTATTTTATTCCTTAATTAATTATGCCTCTTGCCACTTAACAACAACAACAACATCATGGTCTCAAAAGAAACTTGTCAGAGACTATGTCCAATGGAAGAATAGCAGCCCAGCTATGTTGACTGGAAGTCTGGCTTCAGTCAGGTGTTCCTCCTCTTCTGAGTCCTTCCTTCCCTCTTCTCTTCCTCCCATTCTTCCTGCCACTCCTAATTTTTTTTTTATTTCCTTGAGACAAGAATGAAACATGGCAGGATTTGTCAAAGTTAAGATGCACTTACCTGGCCACCTAGTATATTCAGTGAGGGAGGACACACAACCTAAAAACTACTGTACAACCCAGCACATACTGTATACTCCAGAGTATCAGACATACTCACGCCAGGGGTAGGGGCAGTAGGGTGGCATTGAGAGTGTGGGAGGAAGGGCATTATAGACAGAATCTTAAAAATTGGCTGGATGTGAACTCCCTCCTTTCCCAGGCAATTCTAATTGGAGTCTTTGGTAAAATACTTTCTCCCACCAGGGGGTGCATTGGCTCCTGCCACTTGCTTTGCAAATTGTGTTGTTGTTACGTGCTGTCGAGTCTGTTCCGACCCATAACGACCCTGTATAGGGTTTCCGAGGAGCAGCTGGTGAGCTTGAACTGCCAACCTTGCAGTTCAAACAACTTTGCAGTCTGGTGCATTAACCCACAGTGCCACACCACACTTTATAATAAAGTTCTGGAAATGAGCTAAATGCTCATCACTGGAGAAAAGGCAAGCTAAAAAAAGCTATGGATTCTTATGATGAAATAAAACGAATACCTATCAGTTAAGAAGAACTATTCATATACATTTCGGAGCCTGGTGACATCCCACATACTGCTGAAGGTTCAGAGGATATGCGCTTAAGGGCACCTATAGCTCAATTGAGCACCCTAATCCTTCTCCCCAAACAAGACAGAAAGCATTTCACAAGGTTCTACTTTTTATTGGTGTGCCAGGCATATGTAGAGTCCCATTAGAGGGTCCTCGGCGGCCCTCCTCCCGGTTCTGCAGGCCCTCAGTGCACCTGCGCCAGGTTATGCTTCTTGTACAGTAGCGCCCGCTTCTTCTCACGCTCGCGCACAAAGGCGCGCAAGCGCGCGGTGGGGAAGGTCACAGCTGCGGGCCTGGAACCCGCAGGGCCCTCCTCTGTCAGCCATGGACACTGCAAGCAGCTGGACGCGCAGGGCCGGCCCCTGCAGCACAGAACAGAGGAAGGAGGGCGATCAGCTGTCTCTGTCTAGAGCACAGCAGGGCAGGGGCAGAGTGGGGCGGCTGTGGGCCTCTTGCTTACCAGGGGTGGGCGCACAGCGTGCTCCGAAGGAAGGCCACAGCGCCCCCTGACAGCCCAGGGTAGCAGCGGCTCAGCCGAATGAGCCCCTTGCGCAGGTTTTTCTGCAGGTCACGTGCCCCCTCGTTGCTCACAGGGTACTCGGCGCTCAGCCTGCAGGAGGTGATGGGGAATCTGAGGCCTCTCCCGAGGAGGAGGAGGAGGAGGAGGAGCGAGGAGCCGAGAGTCTGGAGGCCACCCTTGGATGAATCCCAGATTTGCCCCTTCCATTCAGCATATCCCATACACTAGTGCAAGGACTCACATGATGAAGGCCGTCACTCCGATGGCCCAGATGTCGGTCTGTGGGACAGCACCCTGGCCCTCCAGAAGCTCTGGAGCTGGGGAGGGGCACAGGTGGGTGGACACAGGTGAGAGGCTGGGTGTAGGCTGGTGGACACAGATAAGGGTCTTGAGGGCAGGACACTCAGGACAAACACAAAAGGGAGGGCTGAGGACGAAGGGGAGGAGCAGCTGGACAGGACACGTGCCCCCCTTCCCCCAACTCCCATAGGTCAGACTCCTATGTCAGGTTCCCCACAATCGCACCCATGGTCTCCATGTAATCCTTGAACTTCTCTGATGGCAAGACCTTCTCCTGAGTGAGGCTCTGGGCGTTGCCAAAGTCCAGAACCTTAAGCAGGTTGTACTCAGTGACGATCAAGTTCTCAGACCTGAGGTCCAGGTGCAGGATGCGCTGGGAATGCAAGTACTGGGCAGCACTCAGCATCTGCCACAGGTAGTCCTTCACCTCTGATTCAGAGTAGGAAGTCCTGGGGGTGTGAGGGGGTGGCTCAGGTTTGGGGATTCCGAATGAGGCGGGAGGCAGAGGGAGATGTGGACAAGTATCCTAGGGCAAGGACTCTGGAGCGCTGGGTGGGGAGCAGCCTGGGTCGGCTCTGTCAGGCAGCAGGGAGCCAGGCTGGGCTTCTTACACTCTCTCTCTCCTGCCCCTCTTCCAGTTGGCCTGTGCCTATGCCTGTAGTTGCCTCCCTCACCTCTCTGCCACACAGGGGAGCAGCTCTGGTCCAGAACACAGCTCCAGGATGAGCACCAAGTGCCGTGGGCTGAGGTAGGCGCCATGCAGCTGGACCAAGTGTGGGTGACGCAGGCTCTTGAGGGCCTCGTATTCACCCAGCACTGCTGTCTTGTCCTCCACGCGGTAGGGAATGATCTTGGCTGCCAGCACCCGCCCACTGGCCTTCTCCCGGCACTGCCGCACCACGCTGAAGCGGCCCCTGTGCAAAGGGAAGCATCAGGCTGATGAGACCCAGGCCCGTGCAGCCCCCCTGAAGCCCTTTGCCCTTCCCACACACAGAGCAGCAGGTGGAAATGTGGGACCACAGGGAGCACATTCAGCAAGGAGGTGGCAGAACCTTCCAGGGTTCCTGGAAGAAGTGCGTTTGGGGGTGAGCTGTGGCGAGGGAGGCTAAGGTTGGGGTGGGTGCCGGAGGGGCCTGAGCAGCACAGTCCCTGCCCGTCCACAGCCTCAGCACCTCCGGATGTGTGTCTGGAAGGCGAAGGTCTGCGTGCTTGAGAGGGGCTGGGCTGGCAAGGCGTAGCCACTTTCTGCCTCTGAGGCTGTAGAAAGAGGAGTGGGGTCACTGGGAGGCCTTACGGGCACACCCCAGCACCCCCTCCTTTTCTCCATCATTCCTTCCAGACCCTCTGTTGTGGGCCTTCCACTCTGAACTCATTGAACACATACCAGACCCCTCATTCCTCAGAGAAAAAACAAACAAAAACCATGAGGATTTGTATGAAGGCCATGAAGTGACAGGATACAGCCACTCATGACTGCCTCCACACATAACATGTGTGCCAACCACCCTTCCTGAGCCACAGCAGACATTAATAATCAAAATGCTGAGCCCAGACACCTTGAGTTCTTAGCACAGCATTGCAGAGGCACTCCCAGGGCTCAGCATGAACTTTTAGATGAACTCATTTGTTCCCAGGAAACAGGATGTGGAAGAAGGGGCCTGGGCAGTGAGGGGCTCAAGAGTGTGTTGCCCAAAAGGAGTCCAAGAGGGGTTTCCCCAAGGGGAAGGCAGGGAGCTGTGAGAAGACCAGAGCAGGAGTCTCACCTGCGTGGCTGGGCCCTCCTAGGAGGACCTGCTCCGAGGGGCTGCTGTAGGGACCCATGCCTGCCTTGCTTACACAGGCTGTCCGGAAGGTATAGGTGCCGGCCCGTGGGAGCTTGCTGGTTAGGTAGCAGCAGTCAAAGATGTCGGAGGCCAGAGTGCTCCAGCTTCCACCTGGGCCACATGGGAGTTAGGGCATGAGACGCTGCCCCACTGATGGGGTAGAGAGGGCAGCCGCTCACTGGCACACAACAAGCTGGGTGCCTCTGTGACCTTCCCCATTGGAACCCATGAGGGGATCCCCAGAACCAGGCCAACAGATACCTTCCAGGGAGCACTGTACAATATAGGTCACAGGGCCGCATGCCTCCACAGGCTTCCAGACCAGCAGCACCCCGTCTGAATGGACTTCCCCAATATCAGGGCGCGGAGAGGATGAGGGAATCTCTGTCGGGGGGAAGCATCTCTGAGGCCCTATAGCTCCAAATGACTGCTTGATGTAATCTTATCCCCTGGCATGCATATCTCCCAACACCTCCCTCTCCACCCCCAACCCTTGATTGCTTGCTGCCCAGGCTCCCAAGCCCACTCTCCCTTGGTCCTGGTTGTTTGGGGGATCCTGCTGCAGTGTGGACTGGCTGGAGGGATGTGGCTGAGAAAGCACCATGGGAAGAACAACTAGTAGACCCAAATGCTTGGACAAGTTTAGCTCTCCCACAAATGGGTACATTTTCTGTTTGGACAGTGGTAGGAATTAACAGGCTTGATTTACATGGAACCAACCCTGTCTCTCGCATGTGGGTCTCTCCTTTTTCACAACCTGTTTCTCATCTTGTCTGTCCCTTCCTCTCTCTCTGTCTTTGTGTCTCTCTCCCTGTGTTTCTCTATGCTTGTGACTCTCCTCTCTCTCCCCCTATCTCTTCTCTCCTCTTGCCCCTCTTCTGAGCACACTGCTGTAGCCACAGATGAGTTCAAGGCCACACAGACCGCTCAGTGCAGTCACTATGAAACCTTCCTTCTCCTCATCCCTCTGCCTCTTCCCACAGCTACAGCTCTGGCTCCTAATGTGCATTTTCCTGTCTTGACGTTTTCTTTCTCTCCCTGTCCATGTGCAATGTAAGGATGAGTGGTACTCTGAACAAGTGGGGGTCTGGGAGAGGGCCCACAACCTGAGACACCTGGCAGAGCCATCACCAGGCTACAACAGTCAGTGTGCGCTCCCCTGCTCTGTCAGAACTAGGGGATGACTGGTGTCACCAGGCTATGCAGCACAGTTTTCATGACCCACTTGCCATGAGAGCCAGTTTACAGGGTCTCAGAGTGAGCTGAGGTCCCAGGCCCAGGCAGAGACCTCAGGAGGAGGCAGTGGCATGGATGGCCACCCCACTGCCTACCAAGAGGGCCTGGGTGGCACACCTACCTGCCCTCTGGAGCACCCCCGTGGTGGCTGCGGTGCCTAGAGCATTGCTCACGCTGCAGGTATACATGCCTAGGTCCTCAGCAGTTACCACCAGGATGGTCAAAAGCTGGAAGTGCTTCAGAGTGGAGGATATGAGAAGTCGGCCACTGCTCTCCAGGAGTACCCCATCTGCCAAGGAACAAATCAGGGTCTGCATGTGGGTAGCTGCTCCTCCCGCCCATCACACACCCAACCACACAGTCTAGCAGAAGCTTTGTAGGAAGGCCACCCCCGTCGCCATCCCAGCTCCACCCACTCTGAGCCTTAGTCCCTAGAGAGCTGTCACCTTTACTCCAGGTGGCCTGTGCAACAGGCTGGGCTGACACTTGACAGGCCAGTGTCACAGACTGGCCCAGGACCACTGTCTCATCTGAGAGCTCCTTTAGGAACGATGGGGCTGAAAATGAAGAGTGAGAAAAGTTGTTCAGGAGATGCTGTCTCCAGGCGCAGCAACCTTAGCTGCCAGGCCAGAGTGTAGAGGACACACTGGGGTACCGGACCTGTGGGGACCCTGTCCCCTCTCAGCTCCTCTGTCACTGCACTCTTATCAACTCTCACATCTCCATCTTCTCACAGAGCCCTTGCTGACTGCTCCAGCCCTCTGCACTCATAGCTGGAGTCATTTATTTGGGGTCTAGTCCAGGGCTATAAACTTGTCCAAGTGCTACAGAGGTTGGTGGTCACTACCCACCCCCAGGTCCTCTTGAAACCGTGGGAAGAATCAGGCCCTGGTCAGGGCACTTACCTCTGTCCTTACTCTTTAGCCGGAAGGAAGCCAGGCCTGCCTTCTTCCTGGAAAGGCTGTCCTTCTCTGGATCTGCAGAAAGAAAAGGGTGGTCCACAGAGGTCACAGCCCATGAGAGAAGTCGCTGGCTCCTCTGGGCAGCACTCAGCTGCCTCACACTGCTCTGCCAGGAGCTGCAGGGACAGGCAAGCCCTATCCATCCCGTGGCTCTGCCTTCCACGTTTCAGGTTTCCATGGAAAACCCCAAGATTCCTGGGTTATATTGAAAACTGGGGCTAAGTTTGTTGCTACCACCTCTTTCCCTTTCCATGGCTAGCCATCAGGGCCCATCCTGTGCTGGGGCTATCTATGGAAATAAATGAGAGTTGTGCAGCTTGGGGCCATGGAAACCTTGGGGGAACAAGTAGCCAGGGCTGCATGGAGACCCCAGTGGAAGACTCTGGCTGCAGGAGGCTAGTATCGGTTCTTAAATTTCCTCCCCAGCAGTATGCTTTCTCCTTAGGTCTCTAGTTCTCCTGCATTGCTATTAAATCCCAGGGAAAAGGGGTCTCTAATGCCAGGAGGTACACCAGAAAGCCTGGGAAACGAGTCCAGAGGGGGTTTCCTGAGGGTACTGGGAAGGATCCTAAGCTGTTGCCATAGGGTAAGAGGTCAAGGTGACCCCCAGAGGTACAGAACTGGGGAATAAATCACCTTCAGGCCGGCCTGTCAGGATCCTGGAGATGTGGGCCACCGAGGCCTTCACCCTCTTGCGCAGACTCTGCTCCACGGGTTCCTCCAGCGGCAGGCACCCCCCAGAGAGCTGGAAGAGGCCTCTTGAGGAGGGTGATGCCTTCCGCTTCCGACCTAGGATAGCCTCCCCCAGCAGGGCCTCCATGCTCTCTGGCTCCTCCTCTGTGATTTGCAGGCTAGCTCGAGGGTGGGGAGTAAGGCTGGCAGAGGGGCTTATCTCGCTCAGCCAGGGCCACGCCACCTCCGGGAGCTCTGCCAGCTCCTCATAGGATTCGGTTGGAGTGGAGGGTGGCGTCTGCTCCACGGGCGGCTTCGGGACCTTCCTGAAGATCATGAACTCGAATGGGAGATACTTGATGTCATAGAGGTTGGAGAGGTTGAGGTAGGCTGGCTCTATCTCAGAGATGTCCAGGGACAGGGTATCGGCTGCCTCTGCGTCACCTGAGAGGTCCTGGATCTGCACCAGGGAGACCTGAGAGCCCTGGCCGAAGTCTTCCCATGAGGTAAACTCCGGGGAGCCCTTGTGGGAAGGCCTACTACCTTCAGGCACTGGGGCTACACTAGCAGGAGGCAGTGGGCTCTCAGCCACCCCTTCTTCTTGCTCCTCTGAGGACTGAGACTGGGCCCAGGTCAGCTTGGCCCACAGGGGTCCCTGCCCTAGCATGCCCCCTGCATCCCCCCCAAAGGCGAAGGTGCCATAGCCCGCCACCCCTGCATAACCCCCACGGGACCCCAAGGAGAACTTCTGAGTGGTCGCCTGCTCCTGAGGCCGCTGCTGAGAGGTCTCTGGGGACACGTCCTCAGTATCCAGAGAGGCCACAGACTCCGTGTCCACTGGGGATTGTGGCACAGCCTCTTGAGGGGACAGATCCCGTCCTAAAGAACACGAGGGGCTGGGGTCTGCTCCCTGCTTAGAGCTTGGCAAGGAGCTTGCTTGGGCTGGTGAGGTGGAGGCCTGGGGCTCTCCTATGAGGAAGGAGCTTCCAGATACCCGGAGTCCCTCTGTGTGAGATCCTGGAGGAAAGGAGCCTTGCTGTTGTGGCGTAGCAGTCATTGGGGGTCCACAGCCCTCCTGGGGAGCAGATCCCCAGTCAAGGTGAGAAGAAGGGGTGGACTGCTTCTGAGAGCTGTCTCTTGGACTTGTGTCATCATCTGTGGATGGAAATGGTTTGGACCCCTGCAGGGACCCCTTTTCAGTGCTTGGGGCCATGCCTGGGGCTGTCTGGGCAGGGAACATGGTACCTAGGGTCCAGGTCCCAGTGTGTAGAGTAGCTGGTGGTGTGGGCTCACTGAGCAGACAGGGACTTGGGCCCTGCCCAGAGCTGTCCTCAGAGGCCACCCTGAGTCCCCAGGATGCTGGATGGGGACACTGCCCCTCAAAGCAGTCCTCAGGTGACTTCTCCAGCTCCTCAGGGAAGGCACTGGTGGTTCGCAGCGGGTCGTGATCTAGGGAGTGGCTGCGACCAGGGGCCACATGGGCTATGGAGCCAGGCAGCCTCAGGGCCGTCTCAAAGGAAGGTGCTTTGGCCATGAGGTCCGCCTGTTCCTCCATGGCCGCCTCCTCCTCTAGTACACGGTGCTCCAGGAGGGGCTCTCGCAGGCCGGGTAGGGACTTTGCAATGTACCCGCCCTTCAGCAGGTGCCTCCGGGCCCGTGCCAGGTGCTTTCTGCTGCTCAGGGCTGAGGCTGTGCACTTGCGTTCCGCGCTTTCCCCAGCCTGCTGGTAGAACAGGCTCCGGATGACACTTTGGCGGGGTACGAAGCCTGAACTAACTGCTGGCACCTCACCCTGGACCCCAGAAGCCACAACTTGGCCCTCTGCAGACAGAAAGGGCACTTTGGGGGCCACGCAGACCTCAGCCTCTTCAGGCAGGCTGGCTGAGGGCCTTAGGAAACCTCTGGGGTGCAGAAGTGGAGAGTGGGTCACAGGGGAGGGCGGCAGAGACTTGGCTCGGGCGTATGCAGCAATCTCGTTGTCGGAGGAGGAGCTGCTGGAGGAGCCGCTGTCATCCCGGAGCAGGTGCCGGGAGACCCCTAGGGATGGGCTGTCTGGTGGGCCCTGGAGCAGCTCAGGGATGGAACGCATCACCAAGATGGACTTGTAGCACATCAGGGAGCGCTGGGGAGAGCAGCAAGAGGGTGTCAGAGCTCAGGGTCCCCTTCCCGTGCCCCTCCTGTCCTCTCCACCCCACCTCTTTTGCTCTGTGACTGTAACATGTATGCGCAACCCATCACCGCTCCCTTACTTCCTCCCTGAGTGCTCTGAGCCTGTCCCACTTCATGTACAGCAAGACCTGGAGGTAGGACACCCGACTACATGCTCTTATCTTAGCACTGGACAAATAGTCCCAGCCTAATAGGTCAGGAAGTGGCCCCGGGGGATCAGCAGGACCACAGGTGGCCTTGAGCCTGCATCTTCCGTTGGAGTTCCCCTTCCCCTGGAGTTCCTCTTCCAAATTGAGGCAGGTACCACCCACCTGCCAGCGGCTCCGGGCCAGCAAGAACTTGAGCTGCTTGGTGTTGATGAAGTGAGCCTCCTCTGCAGGCACAGAATTCTGCAGGCAAGGAATAGAGGGGCTGCATCAGGAGGGACCTAGTGCCTGGCTGTAGGCACCAAGTTCAAGAGCCCGGGTCAGGCTCTCTCCTGGGATGGCAGTCCAGCTGGGGTAGGGGCAGCAGGTTAGCCCAGCCCTGGGAGCACATGCAGGTGCATGGGGCCAGTTAGAGGCCGCAGGCTTTGGTGGTTCCATGTCTTTTCCAAGTTTGTTACAGAAGTGGACCCATGGAGGACCCTGAGCCTGTCTCCCTGATCCAGCCATGTTGCAGTGGGGGAAAGTGGGGTCACCAAGGCCCTTTCTCTCAGTCTGATGATGCACTGGAGACAAGTCCTCTGGGCATCAGCCAAAAGTCTGGGTTAATGCACCCAGGCAGGACCCCAAGCTCTCATTGTCTCAGTTTCCCTCCTTGTATAATGGGGGACTGAGTGAGTTCATCTGCCAGACCTGAAAGCTCAGTCTACTCACCAGGAACCAAGGGTGGGTGAGGCATTGGGAGGCGGTGGGCCGGGCCCTAGGGTGAGAGGCAGGTATGGACATCAGATCAGGATAGGGTCAGCCAGTCCCAGCTCAGGACTGAGAGGAACTCTTGGGAGGTGGGAGGGCAGCACACTCACTCTGGGCTCCTCTGTAGGGTGGCCTTGATAAAGTCCTTGGCATCCTCAGTGAGGTGAGCAGCCACAGGGCTGCTCCAGGAGACCCGCCCCTCCTGAACATTCAGCAGGGTGGCGCGGTCACTCTCACCCGCAAACGGTGATGAGCAGGTCAGGCTGAAAGAGGAGGAGTCTGGCCTTCAGGTGACCTGGATTCCTAGATCCTTGGGGAAAGATTGCTAGGCCAAGGAGTGCTGGCTCTCTCAGTCAGCGTTTTTAGGGTCTGGGGCCTCAACAATGACTGGGGGTGGGTTATTAGCATCAATCTTTTTATTTAATAGCATCATTCTTATCTGAGAATGCAAGCAAGTGTCTCAATCTGCCCAGCAAGATCTAGGTTCAGCTTAAAATGGGATCAAAGTTCAGCTTGGAGGGAGCATCAGGGCTCATCTGGAGGGGGAGATCAAAATCTCAACCTGGAGTGGGGATCAGGGCTCAGCCTGGGGTGGGGATCAGGGCTCAGCATGGGATGGGGTCCAGGGATCAGCCTGGGGTGGGGAATCAGCGCTCAGCATGGGATGAGGATCAGGGCTCAGCC